GTTTAGCTTTTTTTACTATACCCAATTCTCTTTTTACGAAAATATCACTACTAATTTTGAAAGAAACAAAAAGAATCTAAATATTGCCTAGTCTATTATTAATAAAGTCCAAAATAATTTTAATTTGAAAAACAAGCAAAGCTCGCCGCTCTCCAAAAATAGTATAATACTTTAATCGTGGACTACAACGCTATTAAAACTTATAATACTAATATTTGTACAAATATTAATAATAAAAATAATATTATTCTTACTAATAAATGTCACAGGTTGACATTGGCTATATAGTGTGCATTCCGAGTTCTGCCTTGCAAGCAGAACATCGTCCTATCTTTTGTAGGTTTGGCCGTCTGGGCATATGCATCCCAGCCTGTCACAATAAAATAGCTACCTTTCCTCGTTAAATAATAGAAAATTCACTTATTTTTATAAGTAAAAAGAAGATTACGTGCGCTCGCAAGTTGTGATAAGGGTAGTGTTCTGGGCTTGGAACAGTAGTTCAATTCCGCTGATAAACTAATTTGATCTCGAAGGCCTTGTTGATCTTCTTAACCTCCAGAGAAGGTTGGGCTTCCAGGCCTTCTTATGCCAAAGGGAATCAGTACGTACTTGAGGCACGTATTAAGCCTTGTTGCCTGGGGCTTCAAGGCTTCTATCTAGCAGTCTGCATACATGTGGATCTGAATGCCTTCATCCATTCTCTATCTTCCTTCTGGGTGCCGTGCTTCTTGCTTAGTTTGGCTGTGTTACTTCTGAGGATTGTCTTATGATGTTTCATCAGTGTTTCAGCACTTCCCTAGTTGGCTCGCTAGCTTGGTAGTGTCGGAAGGGGCTCGGGTAATTAGTACCCGTGGCCGAGAGTCCGGCCGAAGTGAGTGTCGTAGCCCTGGGGCCACCGGGCATCTCAAAGCTCATTCCAGGTGTTGAGGCTCTGTTGAGCCTTGCAACCCTAACCCTTAGACTATGGGAAATGTCCGTGTGACACAAGTATAAAAGTTTTAAAACTTAGCGTTTTATATTTAATCTTGATAAAAGTATTATCATTTTTCTTATATTAATAAAAATATTAAAATCACTTGTATTACTATATTGCTCACCTTACAAATTATTTCTAATAATTAAAATAATTTTTAAAGTATTTAAATAGACTCCAATATAAATAATTCGTACTGAAAGACTAATAAAGAATCTATAACCTACCTCACTAACTATTTCTAAAATATAAACTTCAAAATAAACACTAGTTGCCACTTACAAGAATTTTACATAAAGAATATATTATTTACCAATTTTAAAATAGAAACAACTAATTTTATAAATTTGTACGGTCTTAATAATATTATGAAGGCTCACTACATTTCTAAAGAAATCAATAAGCGGCTCTACAATATATTCGCTTACAGGAAGCTTCTAAAGATATTTATTTTAAATATAATTTAAAATTTGGCGTACTATCGCTACTAATATCAAAAATACTAAGTATTACTATAAAATAAATATATATTTCTTGAGGGACCTTAGTAGTAATAATAGGTCTAGTAGCAATAATCATAGTAGTAATAGTAACTTCAATTTTTATACTCCCAACAAACTCCTTATCAACTAAGGCAATGATAAAATAAACTTTGATATAATTAATTTCCCTATTTCCATCTATGAAGATATCCTTAATCAATATTTTCACGCAAATTTATACTACTATTATAATAAACTCAATTATATTACTTGCAATTATTCCTCGTTCATTAATTATAGTAACTGTTACGGCGCTGGCAGACCACTACACCACTAAGCTATGTTTCAAAAAGATACAAGTAACCGAAGCTGGCAGTTCGATCGCTCAAGTGGTCTTATATAGTTTGTCCTGGAAGAGGCATCCGAGTGCATTCCGTGACAGTAACTAAGGCCTTTAATATCTAACTAATAAAAAGAATAAAGATTAAAACAGAGACAAAATCAGTAGCAGTAATATTTATGACAGGCTAGGATGCATATG